GTTTTATTTCGCGCCAAATTTCATTAAAAATTTCGAAATTTCTTGTCATGATAGTGCAGGTCACCCTGTATATTTCATTATTTGTTCCGATTAGAAATTTTGTGTTTGGGCATTTCGGTTCGCTCAAGACTATGGTCCGATAGATTTAATTTCGTCGTGGGAAGAGTGCAAAGCTGATTGACGTCATCATGAGTAATGCGAGTTTTTTGTCGTTCGTTTATCAACTTTGGCGCCGTCTAGACCAAGAATAGGAGCGGATGTAGCACCGGCCGTCAAGAGATAAGGAGTTTTCACGTCATCAGCAGAAAACCGTGAGATCAGTTTTAGTCAGCAGTTCCTTGAGGTTGACGACGAAGTTAGAGTGGGTTAAGTCTTCTTTATCTAAACCAATGGGAGAATTTCTAGCGGGAGCCATTTTTGTTTTATGGTAATTTGGGTGTGGTTTTTTTCATTTCAATTCTGAAGAAGGGGAGCGTTTTAGAAAGACTCGCGGTTAGTACGTCAAGCGGTCAACACGTACTTTGGGTGATCGCGTTTTTAGAAGAGACTCGCAGTTAGTACGTCGAGGGGTCGACACGTACTTTGAGTGATCGCGTTTTAGAAGAGACTCGCGGTTAGTACGTCAAGCGGTCAACACGTACCTTGAGCGATCGTTTTGGTACACTTGGCGGTTTGAGCCACCGGCTTATTTCGGTTGCTCGCAGTTGCGTGCTTTTTGCACCCGTTCCGAAGTGTTATTTTCTTTTCGCGTTGATTTTTTGGCGAAGAAGACCCAGTTCCAATCAGGTGATATTTGGGCGAACCCTTGAGCTTCACCCCAGTTTACTTTGGATGCAGTGAATCGCGTTAGGATACGTTGTGATTTCTCGAGGATATATAATTCAAAGTGCTGCCCTAGTCCTCAAGGCGCAGAATTTCGGGATCCGCCCCAGGTGGAATTTCCTACTAGTGCCGTAAGGTCATTTGTCGAAGGAGCGCTGCGTTTCGGAGAGATATTTGCCCCAAGAAGAGCTGGTGAAATAATACGTCGAACCATCGCGGTTTACCGTCGGATAGTGATCATAAAAGTTTGTGTTCTGCCGTACCGCTAACTCAAAAATCCGTCTCCCGCAGGCGGTCAAAGCTAATAAACTAATAAAATAAAATTAAATACACGTGCTTTGGCAACTAGCCGTCTCCCACTCGCCACGCGAAGGATTTCCTGGGCTAAGTTTCAGTTCAAACGCTAAACTTTGCTTTCGTTCCGAGGAAGGATAGGCACCGTGGATTTTTGTTTCCGTGTGTTAAATTCAAGCCACCCCCTAGGAAGTCACAAGAGACCTAAGTGTCAGGTTTCATCACATCCACCCTGTACCAGAGGAAAGAGCAGTTCACAAGATCGGCTGTACAAATGTTGTAAAGGTTAGTCTAAATTAAATTTGTAATATTCTGTAAAATTCCACTTTTTGGTAATTAAGCTATAGTAAAAAAATTTTGATTTGATTGTTTATTAAAGTCCAATGAACGATTACCGAAGAGTAGGATAAATTTTTGTGTTTATTTAAATAAGTCCCAGCCCACGCTGGATTAAAAAACGATTACCTGTTGTTGCAATTTTCAAACTGTAGAGGATGGCCACCCCTTGAGTAAATTACTTTCACCTGATAGGATTTTTTATTTAGTTTAGTTGTCATTGTTAAGCTAGTGGTTTTACAAGGAGGAGAGAAGAACTGCTAGATCCCTGTAAATTGTTTGTATCGCTAATCTCATTTCAATATATTATCTATTTGGTTTCAATGTGCCTGTCTTTAACGAAGAACGAGGGGAAGGAAAGAGAGGAGTAGGAGTTGAGGCAGGAGACTGGTAGGCGGCAGTTTAAGGTTTGTTACGCAGTTTCAAAAGAGTTAAAAGCCCACCGATTTGAGTTAGCCGGAGCATTTATTTTTATCGTTTGAGCAGCCTCAGAAGAAGACGGTTTGCCTTGCCGGGCGGAACCGATGGTAATCTTCAAATCCAGAAGGAACCCCCGTTACAAGACCAAAAATTTTTAAGGGAGTAAAAGCTGCGTAATATTATTATTATATTATTATCTATTAGGAGGTACCTACCAGGACCTTTCTTATACCAGTTATATCCTTAAGAATACGTGTACCACTTTTCAAAGCGTCGTGCACATGGTACGCCTTTCTGAAATTAATCCTAGCGATTTTGGAACAGATCCATTTTTGACCATCCGTTTGTTCGTGTGGATGATAGTTTGTTTAGAAACGTGCGATCGCTTTGAAAATTGGTACACATGGTTTTAAGGTTATAAGAAAGGTCCCTATTGTTTTTAAGTTACGTAGACTATCGAGTTCGGTATTCAGATGTATCGGATTTTTATGTTTGATTTTGTTACAATGGAAACTTTCCCTAAACATTTCTAAATTGTTCTCAAATATTTGAATAACTTAAAAGTACTGTCTTTTTCTGAGGCCGGAAAAAAAATTGTCTGAGATCGAGATCGATCGAGAGTCCATAATTTCAAACAGTTTGAAGATTGGGCTACTAGATCAAAAGTTACAGCACTTTGAATTTTTTTTCGAAATATGTTTTCGAAGTATGTCCATAACTTTTTATTGAGAGGTCTAATCGAAAACGTACGAATTGTTTTGGATTCTACGCACCAAAATTAATAAGAAAAAGTGTGTTCCCGAGAAATTTTGGTGCAGTCGATTTTTGTTTGGTAAAAAAGGAAGGTTATACACGGCCTTTTTTTGAGCCCCGAAAAAAAAATTGTCTCAGATCGACCCGGAAAAAAAATTTCTTATAGAATGTGACCTGTAGAATCCATAATAATCAAACAGTAGTCGATTTTTGGTAAAAAAAAAGGAAGGTTAAGTATCCAAATACTATGCGAAGTATTCGAATACCTTGCGAAGTATTCGAATACTAAATATTTGTGAAAGTATTTGAGTTACAAATACAAATACTGCTTCCATAAAAGTATTTAACTACAAAGTATTTGAATACTAAAAAGTATTTACAAAATCGAATACTGCCCAGCTCTACCACCATCTATTTTAATAACAAGTAGAATCTAAAACGGTTTATTTAAATATCCGTTTAATGAAGCACCGACTTGAAAAACTTTGATAATCTGATGGACGTACCGGGGATAATTGTTTATACAGTGTTTTAGACTGGACGTGCTGTAAATATGAACTATAAGAAAACATATTTCAAGAAATAAGAGACCAAAGCAGTTAATATCGTTTCACAGACAATAATCAAAACAATCAGGCTTATTGGAAATTTTGTGAAAAACCGTCGTTAGTCGACTCGATGAAGCCTAAAAATCGACCAGCAGCTCTGATTTTGATAATTCTATCGAAGAGTATCCTCAAAAGCTGCAACGCAGGCTCCAAGACCGCACATTAAGAAAGTTTAGCTTGAGAGATAAAGTATACGTCCGGGTCCGGCAATAAGTGGGACCCACTGGGATTTAACAGTAGTGTTTCGTTCCATGGCAGGGACCATTTGAAATAGAGGAGGGAAGGCCATCGGTGAACTATTGAGTCCATAGGGGAGGCCGCTTGGAAGATAAGATGAAAAGGTGTTTCGTAGAAGAGGAAGCTGAAAATGTGGAGTCCGTGACAATTCCATTATTCTATGGAACAACACCGAACCATCAGCTAGTACCACCCTGGATGATTACTCATCGAACGAGGATGAATACTGGGGTCGATTCGATTCCGAAACATTAAGAACAAATTATTATTAAATGTACTAGGTATTACTTTGTGCGCTAGATGTTGTGATTAATGTTTAAACAATATAAAAATTATTGCGGGAGATATTGTTGATGCTAAATTTTCAGTATACTAATTTTTCCCGTAAAATCAGTAATTGTTTAAACAATAAAAAAAAGTTGTCTTCAAATTATAATGTTCCTGATTTTGAATAGTACCATTGATGTGGTTTTTATTCAATGACAGTAGGTACTCAAAAACACGAATTTAAAAAAAATTAGCAAAATTGGCGCTGTTGCTGAGAATTGAGAAGTTCAAACCTTCATTGCCTCGACTACTGTAGTATATGTAGTGTGTGTAATAAGTAAAATAAGAGCAAGAAGAGCCGAGTTAAAGTACGTCTACTGTAACCAACTGTTAAACAACAAAAAGCGCTTATAATAGCGCAAAGTAAATATTTCTATCATTCCTTGCAGTAAGATAAACCGTTTATTGGGTCGGATTTTACAGTAGAGGAGACTCTAAATATGAGTGTAAATGGTGGAAAAGGATCATTCGGTAAGTGGCGTTACAGTCCGAACTTATGTCGGTCGTTATCTTAGAGCGCGCCGTGCAATATTAAGCCAGTCGCTCCAATAGTCGGATCCCGAAGGGAAAAATTAAGCCAAAAGCGAACAATGGTCTACAACAGCGTTTCCCAACCGGTGGTTCGCGAACCCCTGGGGGTTCGCGGGCGCTTTCCAAGGGGTTCGCAGAACAAAAAACCATAATGGCGGAATTAATTTACTCTCGAATTTACTTAAGCTAAATTTAGATATTTCAATCGTATAGCCCTAGGGCTATGTATAGCCCTAATGAGTAAATCCATTAAAATCGTTAGCGCATGATTACAGCATTCAATGCGAATGTAAACGAATGAAAAACGCACTACAATGTATTTCTTTCACTTCTAAACTCAGTGCTAGGTTCATTTGACTTCATGACAGTTTTAACTCTTAACGTTAAAGTGAAGGTGATTAAGAAAACCACTTCAAAGGCACACTATGGAACAGTGGCTGAAGACAGGGAGTATTATTAGGACCGATAGACAAAGTAAGGAGATACATGAGGATAGTAGTGACATGAAAACAAAGAAGAGAAAGTATGACAATGTTAATGTTAAATTATGAACAAGAACAAGTTGGGGGTTCGCCAGAATCTAAAGGGGGGTTCGTTGTTAGTAAAAGGTTGGGAACCACTGGTCTACAAGTTATCTTCGCGCTGCGGACAAAGATTTTCGCAGCTTGTCCAAGGAAGAAAGCGAGAAAGTTAAAAATCTCCACGATAGAGCACCCCATCCACCCACATCTGGTATTTAAAAACCAAACAGTTTAATAACATTATGTTCAGGTGATATACAATTATATACTTATGTAAAGGCGATTTAACCACTCACTTGCGTTTTATATCACACGTTGGTGGACATCGAGTGCAGCAGAATTTAGACTCGCGTCTGAAAATGCTTAATATATTAACGTATTGTAGTTCGATTTATTTTTATTATACAGGGAGTTTATAAAACAGTTACGGTAACGCATATAGTTAGAGCAGTAAATTTCCATTCGACTTGAAATTAATACAAAATCCTGAAAAAGATAAAGAGATGAGCAAAACCAACTCCAAACAGAATATTAAAACGAGACATTCAGTTTATTTTCATTTTTCTCAGTACCTACTCGACTTTTAGTGTCACTTTAGCTCCTTATAATATACCATTATTCGTCAGTGAAAACCATTTTTTAATTGATGGGAAAATTTTTTGGATCATATGGCATCTTAAATTTTTGTATGTTCCCGAAGAAGTCTTATTTTCTAAAAAATAATAGTATGAAAACTTCCAGGTCTAATATGAACCATTTACAATACTCGATTGGAGAAGTACACTTTGATGCACCCGAACCCAAAAATCGAAGTGACTTAGAAATATGGATATGAGATTCAATACTGATCTAGTTAAAAGGCAAGGTACGAGTATCGTATCGCAATTATTATCCACCAGGTTTTAATTTCGAGTAGAAGAAGAATTGCAGATAGGACGCATTTCACAAAAAGAACGTAGTACCTAAATGACCACCGAGAGCGAGGCACAAATGGCTTAAAATACATAATTAAATAGAGATATCGAGTAATAAAAAATGTTCAGTTCCTACTTGGCCAATGTAAAGTCATCTTAAACTGCCTATAACAGAAAAGGTAATGAAGAACATCAATCACAGAGGTGTGAATTTACTGCCTTGTCCCGATTTATTACGCAATGACTACAACTAAGTAGTTCTTCCACAAATATTTGTTTTCATCCTTCTCACGCAATCGGATATGGATATAGCGCTAAATTTTTTAACTACCGTTAAGTACAAAATATTCTGTGGTACTAACGCGAGATAATTCTTCGAAAAATTGCTTATGTATGCTAATGACGGATTTGAATTTACATTATTTGATACAGCTAGAGGCCAGGTAGGTATAAGATCAAACCTTGGCTTATTTTGACAATACTGTCGATGGAAATTCAAATACAGAGAGGATACGTTTCCGACATCTTTCGAACTTCCCATAGTTAAACCACTCAAAATCAAAAGTTGATGACAAATTTATTATTTGAACATAGTGAATAAGATCAACGAATTTGTAAAAATGATTTATTTGAAATGATGCAATCCCCTACAAGTTAAGTAGTCCGTTCAAGCCTTTAATGATGATCCACTAATAACATCGGCAACATCTTGGCCAATCTGAATTTGATGGGAACCTCCGGTGCTGCTGCTTTGGTAAGAAGACTGTCCTGATACTTGCTCGTCGGAGAGTTGTCCGCCGCTTACACTGTGACTGACTGCGCCAACACCTTGTTGCAACACATCGTCGGATATTCCAAGTGACTTAAAGATCGTATTCTTAGCGTTGCCACCAACTCCAGATGCGTGTAAGGTTCCCTTATTGACGCTGACGATTTCAACACCATCACCCAGTAGCTTCTTCACATTATCAAGACTGCCAAAATCTAATGAAGATCCGCCTTGGGTGTAATCGGATGATTCCAATGTATAGCCGGTTCCCGAGCTACCGCCGCTGTAAGTAACCCCAAAGGCCGCCTGTTGATCTCCGCCGCTTATAAACTGCGCGCCGGAAGAAACAGACGGAGCTTGTCCGGTGACTTCCACAGTTTTGATTTGGTAACTGTGCCCAGAATTTCCTTGATTGCTTGACTGATCACCAGTCGCACCTTGGAGTACTTGATATTGAGTTTCCACGTTGCTGTTTACAACTCCTTGACCTTCAGCTCCACCGCCGACAGCGTGCAGAGTTTGGGCGGAACCGCCGCTTGAGGACCCGGAGGCGCCGCCTGCCACGTTTACAGAGCGGCATTAGAACCGCTAGAATCAAATCGAGAAGTTAAACTTCCTACATTACCGTGAATGAAGGATGTTTTGTCTTGCCCGATAAGAGTGCTTCCACCGATATGCCCGCCTGAGACAACACGCGCTTTGTCATTTTTATCATGATACTTCACGACCACAACTTCGGCCTTACCCTGGCTAATAGGAATCGGCGCGTTGATCTTAAGTGGTACGAAGTGATCGTTCTCTTTGACTAACACAACGACTTTAGTTTTGTCTTCGACGACTTGGTGCGATGGTACGACTACTTCGGGGATGATTTTACCGACGCTTGGGGCTTTAACAAAGATTACGTTGGAGTTCTTGGTATGGGTCGGTACAATGTTTATGCGGAGACGAGTGTGATGTTCTACTGCATCCTCGGGTGCCGAGAAGAAGTAAACACGCTCCTTGTTTTCGACCACACGGGCGGCATTACCGGAACCTGCGTGCGAGTGGCTTTGGCCTCCTTGAGATACGAAGTTAACTCCCCCGTGACCTCCATGAGTGACAAAGTTAACTCCACCATAATCTCCACGAGATGCCAAGTTAATTCCTTGAGACGTATGTTGCGCATTTCCTTGACCTAGGCCTTGGTATACATACTGCACGTTGCCTTGGTTTTGAAGACCGTGAGAAGATGATGAGCTTCCTCCCGATAAGGTGATTGGTATTAAGTACTGCTCGCCAGATTGCAGCGTGTAGTACGCGTTGTTGCCTTGGTTTTCTAATCCGTGAGAAGATGATGATACTTGCCCGCCAGTCACTGTGATTGGAACCAAGTGTTGTTCCCCAGCCTTTGAGACGTAATACACATTCTGATTTCCAGCTCCTTGTCCATAAACAAACGGTCGCAAGTAGCGTACGGTGGGAACATCTTGGTGGAAGACATGAGTCGTTTTCACGTACTCATTATCAACTGATCCCACAGGGACGTCGTAACTGCTCGCGTATTGTTTAATGCCCTTAAGATGGGAGACATCGGGACGAGAAAACACTCCCGCGATTAACAGAATCACCTAAAATGAGAACACTGGAGACCTTAATCGCAACAAATTTCGAAAACTTACCAACGCACCACTCAACATTGTCACACTTTTTTAAAGCCCAAATGATGCAAATAAAATTTCGCAATTTTCTTATATAGGCAAGGTACCTCCCCACTACGCGAACAGATCCTTTAGCGAAGGACGACGTTACGGATACAAATTCCTTAATCGGTAACAAATCAAAAAACCGGCTAACTTTTGGAAGAAATTCTTCTAAATCATTCAACCCAAAAAGCGCTGTTCGCACGACGATAAATATAGCCATAAAATATGCAAACGCTGCGGATGCTTAATGGACATGTGATTCCATCTGAAAACGTCCGTTTAAAGAATGTACATAATTACGACTACATAATATATCTTCGATATAAATTTAAAGATCGTATCAAAGGGTGACGTCCCTGTGCACTATGGGGGCCGTCATGGCTAAACTGGAAATAAATTAAACTTCCCAGGTGTTGTCCGTCGAAACTTGTTTAGTTTTAAAACCAATTGAATGTTAATTAATAGTAGTCTCCGGGGATAAGGTCAAAAGATGACTAAGAAAATAATTTCTGTTATGCTATTAAAGTCATACGCATTACTACACAATTACCCAAATCCGGATAAATTTGTTGACTATATGATCGTATGAAGGTTTTCCACGGTTAAAAAATACGCTTCAAGACCTGCGGTAGACTAAGTAGCGATACTTAATCAGACTGTGTTTTCAATTTATCTTATTAGCATCTGTATAACATCATAAAAGTTAAGACAGACATTTTCCATTTATTTTTTTTAGTCGAGACTAAAAAAAATCAAAAAAAAATTTAAAAGTTATTTCGTGGAAGGGTTCCAATTATTTTAATAAACAAACAATATGTTTATATACTTTGAATGGCACTTATCAAAAATAATATAATAATAACTTAATGCTATTTTAGAAATTATCATCAGTTTGAATGCAACACAATCAAAACTCGTTGCACATTTTGATAGTACTTTCTTTTTAACTATTATAGATCTACATTGCGCGTCTTGCTTTTTATTTTTTACATTTTTCTCAAAACCAAACCAAGAGCCCTATTGCTCAGTCTGGCGTCTACTTTGATTTATTAAGCTGGAGGCAACATATATGTAATTTTAGGATAAAAAAATAAGATATGCAAATAGCTTAAAATTGTAGATAATTTACATCACATTATGTTTATTTATGGTTTTTTAATGAATATGTGTGTGTCTAAGAATAACGGTAATATCTTGTAACCTTTTTAAATTATTATTTTGCGTGGTATCATTTTATATGATCATTTACCGAAAACCCGGAGCGATTAGTGTATAAAACCCATCTATGAAGTACATCCAACCTGGAAAAACACTTAATAAAGCGACTTTCGGGATTAGTTCTAATCCTTTAAGGTCACAAAATACATCCGAGGTGCAATTGAAAATTGTATGGAGACTTTGAAAGGGAAGTCAAACGAGTGTTGCATGTCCCTAACAATCAAAAGTCTAAACTGGCTTGCTTTTCTTATAAAACTATGTTCCGATAGCGTTAAAATTTAGTTCCATCCGCACCGCATTACACATTAAATCAATTAGCGAAAACCGGAAAAGTCTCTAGGTGACCCAAGACTCGTCAGTAAAATGACACTACATTACTCGTCCCCAAAGGGGCCTCGTACTTCAATATTTCCTCGCCAGTAATGTCCTGACTTTTACGTAAATAATTAATGCTTGAAAATTTACACTCAAACAACTTTTTTATTCCCCTAATATAGAAGATTATTTTATGTGGAGGACAAGTATTACTTTTCATGGTGCGCGTGTGTTTAGCCGCCGAACGGAGTGGGCCATGAAAAGTAACTCCCCTCCAAATAAAATATACCAGTTTTTCTTCAAACGTCCCGCAACTTTACCCAAAACACTTATTTTAATGATAGGCGTTTATGGGATATTGATAGCGTTCGTTAAATTAAACGTCATTGTCAAGTTGGTAAGTTTGTTTGTCTGTTCATGAATAAGGAGGTGCTTTTTCGTTGGTAACGCAGGAAATAACCTTTATTTCATACTGTCCGGTAGATGTTCGATTACACTATCATTTTGAGTCCGGTAGGTGAGTTATTACAGCATCCGAGCCGGTAAGTGTCGCTAAGCAACACTTACCGGACTGTTATTTGTATACATCAAATTTGACATCTTCACACAATTAATTAAAAACCCCAACATAAATTTGGCTGTAATTCTTTATTTCAAACATTAACATTGATTGTAATGAAACAATTTGTATTGCCCTCAACACTACGCCTGGGTTATTACTGAATGTCGAGTTAGTAATGTTTGATTCCTTCTGCTGTAAAACTTCAATGAAATTTTCGCCGCCTTGTATCAGTTGTATCATACGGGCAATCTTAACTTTTCCTTCTACCGAGCCTTCCATGTATTTTTCTGCCGTCGATGAGCTTTTCCATGCTCCATGACGCTTTAACACCGAAACCCAGGCAAAAAAATCTCAATTCAAAAACTTACTGCGTCCAAAAAGTATGCCAACATGACTTTTTCCTCTACTTGTTTCGCCCCATGTTCGTTCCTCAATTGGCAAAACACTTAGTACTCTTTTTCATACCTTGCGCCCGACTTCTTAGGAACCAACTTTTCGGTTGCTTCATGAGATTTCGACAGGATTGTATCGGGAACATTGGAACATCCCACAACGTTTATAACGTCAATTTTTCAGTGAAAAAAATTCAATTGTCAACAAACTACAAACTATAGCAACGGCCGTTGTCACAGAAACAAGGTAATGCGATTTTTACAATATGATGAAATTTTGTAATCTGTGAAATGCAATAATGATACAAAACAGACTTACAGTATGAAATAAAATACGTTACGATATACGTCCGGTAGTACTTGTAACAGTACTCGTTTAAGACATTCTTGACTCGGCTCCTGACGTCGCCTCGTCCATAATGTCTAACTCGTACTGTTACAAGTAACCTACCGGACTTATAACGTAAATAACTATATTATTAGTGAAAATTAAATTGTTCGGTTTCCATAACAATACTTTTCCCTTCGGAGACAGGAAAACGATGAGGAAAAGTAAAATCTGCTATAGCGATTATATCAAGCGTTGCGCCTACTAACTACTGAGTCGAACAATGGCAATATTTGGACGTTTGAAGAAAAATTATTTTTTTGCTCCGAACAGCATAAACAATAGGATAATATTATTATAGATTTCAATCTTGCAATATATGTTTTAAAAGAGAAAAAGGAAAATTAAAACTTAAATGTTAGCTAAATATTTTGAAAATCTGTTAAACTACCCAGAACCAGAAAATTTATGGAAATTCCAAAACTCAGATAACAATGCCCAAAACTCTAAAAGCTCCAAATGCCAAAGAAATAATTAAATCTCTAAAAAACAATAAAGCTAGTGGCGAAGATAATTTAACTGTAGAAATACTAAAATAAAACTACCCAAAACTAATTGACCAATTGGAGGATCTATTTTTTGAAATTTGGTAACACGAAAATATCCCTAAAGATTTGGAAAAATGCAGAACATTTTCTAGAAAAATACCCAGGGGGATTTAGACCTGGACAATGATGTGGAGAACAGTTCCCGAATCTGAAACTTTCGGAACTGAAAGTACAATAAATATAATAAATAAAAGCAATAAAAAATACGTAGCTGTTCTTGTTGATTTTACGACACAATACACAGGGAGTTCCTTGTTAAAATCCTAAAGGAAGCTCAGAAAGATAAACAAAGTGTAAATATCATAAAACGAACAATAACCGAAACCAAATCAAAAGTTAAACTCCGAGGTGAGCTCTTAGAACCTTTCGAAATTAAAACTAGTGTTAGGCGGGGTGACTTGTTTAACTTGAGATTTAGAAAAAGTGATCCGCGAATAGACTAACCAAAAAATGTCATTTTCGAGAATACGTTGGTGTTCATTTATTTTCAAAGATATCAACAAATAATTTTAACAAAAGCTTAGTAGATTTCTCGGATATTGCATCCATAACATCAACGGCTTTTGAGGTCGTTTTTAGTTCGTTCGAGATCTCTTCTTTTATAGCACATTAATTATAGCAACATCATATATCGCACACTGGCAACATTGCGCAACATCAATACTTTCATCAGCTTAAAAAGGCGAATTTAGCGAATTGGTGTAAGGATTTGTCAAATACAATTGTACATAAAAATACCTAATATAAATATTTCAAAGGTAAATCTTTGTGCAAAACACATCAGGCATCTCCCGCCCCCATTAACAACGCCTTGCGCCCCCCTCGCGCCCCCAGTTTGAGAAACACTGTTCTAGAGTGTTCTAAAGCCTTCCGTGGTCTTTTAAGCTAGCATTACACTTGTCAATTTCCTCATGAATTAATTCATAAAGAAATTGTATAATGTAATACACCAACTTTGACGTCCAATACGGAGAACTTCGTGAATTTCTTCACGAAATTAAAACATGTTCTATTTTTCGCCAATTTTACCGTGAAGTTCAGTGCTACCAACCAACAAATTTTTGTTTATATCAGAGAGAGTGAGGTTATGACTATATGTTTATGTTTACATTTTACCCGAAAAAATGTCTATAAAAACGAGAAGAGTAGTTGTGGAAAGGTAAGCAAATAAATGATTACAAAACATTTTACAACTGTAACCTATTTTTTTTTTATTGGGATGGCACCACTGCTCCAATGACAGATTTGTCAAAAACTTCACCAATTTATTCACAGATGTAAAAACCAAACCCTGTCGTGAAGAAATTGACGACAATAAATTCGTGAATTAATTCATGAATAAATTGACAAGTGTAATGCTAGCTTTAATAGCATTTAGGAGTATCAAAGAGTATATTCTGGAAGATGTTAGTCTTTAGCCGTCATGTGTACAGTAAATAGTTTTTCTGGACAATTAAGGTAACGGAAAAATAGAGTATAACCAACCCTTTTGGAGGGTTTGTAAGTAATCCATCACTCTAAACAAAAACCGACAGTTATAAATTTACTAAGATGCTACTGAGGTAGATGTAGATCCAAAAATAAAAACGCTTTCTTATTGCTGCTACGTTTCGTTTTAGAGAACTCATCAACTTACTACTGTAGTTGAATAGCATTTTTTATTACGAAAACAACGATGTACGTCACACAAAAAAACAAAAGTTGGAAACTCTTGGTTTCAACAGGATGGTGCACTCGCACACACCGCCCTAATCGTACCCGAATACTTATCGGACAAATTTCTTGGAAATTATATTAGTAGAAAGTAGATATAAGAACGGAATTAAAAAAAGTTTGTGGGCTACCAGGAGCTAATGTATCCAGCGATCACATTCTCTTAGCTG